TAATTTTAGTTGATTTTGTCATAATTTTAATTAAATTCAAGTATATACAGTATTAAAAATTCATATCTTTAATAATTTTTTGATATATACTTTATATATATTTCTTTAATAAAATAATTAATCTTAAAATAGAATAATAATCTAGAAGATAATATTTTTAATATATAAAAACACCAATATATTATAAGTAGGTTTTAGATTGATAAAGTTTATAATTGCTTTTTAAATATATAATAATTTTAGAAAACTTAAAATTTTATTTATATTAAAGTTTAGGTTTTATTAAAGTTTATTTTAGACTGTTTAATAGAAGATTATACAAGAAAAATTTTTATTTAGAATATAAAAAGTAGTTAATTAGATTAAATTTTCTATTTTTTTAAAAAGATTAATTGTTTAATTTTTTTGTACTTTATCTGATTATTAACTAAATTTTTAGCTTAAAATATTATATATTTAAAAATTAATTTTATATATAGTATTATTTATTTTTAACTTAATTATAAAAAATTAATATTAACAATACTAGTTTTTTTAGTAATTTTATTAAAATAGATATTCTTTGTATTACTACTAAATTTGAATAATTTAGTACTATTATTTAAAATTAATGAAAGAATATCTAAAAAGACTAATAAAATAAGTAATATATTAGATATAAAGGAGGCTAAGCATATTATTAAATTATTGTATAGTAATAATAAATTATTCTTAATAGCTTTGATGTCTTAATAAAGAAATTTATTTAAAAAAATGTAAATTATACTTTTTTAAAATCTTTTCTAATTATTTTCAATTATTATAGAAAGTAGTTTTTTAGTTTAAAAACTACTATTAAAATTTTAGCAGTATATTAATATTTAAAATATTCTTTAATCTATTTTATAACAAGAATTATACTGTAGAATTTAGATGCACTAATTTAAAAGTGAATAGAATTTCTAAAATAAAAATAATTATATTTATTTTAAAGAATTACTTGTTAATAAAGTATTCAGAAATAGGTTTAAAATGCTTTCAGATAACTTGTTTTATACATTAATATCTAATATATTAGTTATAAACTTAGAACATAGTGAGGAGTTTTTTATTGTTAAATATAGAAATTTATTGTATTAAATAACAAAAAAAATATATGATATTACTAAATTATATACTATATCATATAATATGATTTAATATATTATGATGATCTAATGTGTTGTAATATACAATTAGTTTATGATTTTGAAAGCTTTAAAGTTATTGCTATAGTTATATCAGCTATTAATTTACAAGTTTATATATTGATGTATAAATTTTAAAATTATTAATTCTTAATTTTTAGTACTGAAGATCAAAGTTTTTATAATATAGAAATATAAGCAATATTAATTTTTTAATAAGTAAAAATAAAATATTTACTTTTAATCTTACAGATAAAAAGAAACTTTATATTTTTCAACAAATTGTTAGTTGTACCTTATCTGTAAGGTCAGATATACAATAGTTAACTTTTGTATAATAATATTATTATATTTATTAAAATTTATATATCATATTGATGCATAATAACACATATATATGTTATTTTAAATACATCTTTTCTTAAAAATTATATATTTAACTCAAAATAATTTATATGCACATTTTGAAATAATGCATCTATTAAATATACATATTTATTAATAAAGCAAAATAAACTAAATTTGTTAAAATTATTCAAATACTGTATATGCATACCTGAAATAATACCAGAATTTAAAATAATATGAAGATATACATTATTATATATTAATATAGTAGTATATTCAATATTTTAAAATATTGTTAAAATTTAATTTAGTATTTAAAATTTTTTTCTACTTTAAATCTTTTCTGATAAGAATTTTAATATTTAACTATATTATATAAATATTAGTTAGAGTTTCTATATTATTAAATAAAGTTGCTTTTTAAAATTTTTGCATTATTGCAAAAACAAGTTAAAAAATAAACACTATAAAGAATAAATAAAAAATGTAATAGTATAGTATTTATTATATTTATTAAACAATAAAATTATAATACTATATATTTAGATTGCAGATAGCTTATATAACTTTTGAGTTAATAAAAGCTTTATATAAGTTTCTAGCCTTAGTATTCTATAGATATAAAGTTCAAATAATATAATTTCTTTATTTAATTTGTATAGAAGTTTAATTAAATTTTAATAAAGATAGAAATATAGCCTTATCTTTAAAGATTAAAAAATTGTTATTACTAGAAACATTAAAATCTCCTATAATTATAGTTTGAATATTCAAAGAAATAGTTTGTAAAATCCATTTAATAATAGTGTTTTGAGTTTGTAGATTAATAGCAATAGCATATTCAAATTCAGTAAGAATATTGTGAATATATAGTTTAAGTTAGTTTTGAATTATTATAGCAATACTTGATTTGGTAATATCTATATAAAACAAAAAGTAAATAAAGAAAATAGACTTTTAGAATTAATGAATTACAATTTTTTTTAGAAATCTTAGTTTCTATAATACTAATATTAGAAAAACATAAATCTTTTCAGACTTGTTTTTTAAAGTTTTTATTATATTCTCACATATTATGAGTACAAATTAATAAGTTAAAACTTTAGTTTTTAGAACTAGTAGATCAATTGTTATTATAAGATTTATTATAAATTAGAGCTTGGCTTTTATATAAAAATATTGTTAAATTTAGTATCTAAGTAGAACATTGATAGTAGTGTTGTTAAAAATAAGTTATTTACATTAATTGGAATAATTAATGTAGAGCTGATGCTGAAATTAGCTAGAATTAAAAATTTTTCATAGTTTATTATTAAATTGTAAAATTTTTAAAACCTTTTTTTGTGATCTTTTTTTTCATAGTTAGGTTAGAGTTAGTGAGTAGTATTTATTAATAAAAAAGTATATATAAATTTTAGTAGATTTTATAGATTTAAAAAGAAATCTAATTTTTTGCATTAGCTAATTTCAATATCAGCTTCTATAAATCCTTGTGGCTATATAAATCCTGAATACTTTAGCAAAATAGATGTCTATCTGGCAAGACTGAGTTGAAAAGTAACACAATCTTAAGTGTCTAGATGAACTTTATAAGAGCAGAGTGGTTTAGAAGTGGTGTAACCTGTTTGTAAAGGTATAGTATTTATCTAATAAAGAATTCTTTTGTGTTTCTTAATTAAAATCTGAAGAAAACTAGGTCATCTGTTTAAAAGTGAGTAATACAGAAAGCACTAGTTGGGAGATCCCCTTTCCCATTCCTATAACTAGTTGTAATTTAGATTAGTTCTTTAATAGAAAATTAGATATAATTGCCACACAAAAATGGTTATATAAGACATAGATAGATAGTTAGAATTAATATATCATTGTGATAGAAAAGATTGTAACTTATCTTATCATGTATACATCAAAATCAAAAAAAATTCAAATATAAATAAAATACAAATTTGTAATAATAATAAAACAACTAAAAATAATATATATTTTTAATCTTTGTAAATAATTTTTTTAATATTCAAAGTAGCTTTATAGCTAGCAGCATTTATTAGTATATATATGCTAAATTTATTGCAAAGTTGCTGCTCGTTCTTGGCATATAATTTTAAAGAGTACATACTAGTCACACAACAACTTTAAGTTGTCTATTTAAATAGTCCACTTATATTTGTTTATTGACTCTGACTATAAATCATAACTATATACCATAAAAAAAACTAAAAAATACACCCTGAAATATTTAAAAATTTTATATTGAAATAAGTTCTAGCCCCAGTTAGTCATAACATTATTGAGGCCAGAACTTACACCAAGAAAACCATGAATATTGAGTCATATATATGTTGAGAATATTAACCTTGATTGTGCCAAGTTAGAACGGATTAGCCCATATATTGAAGTTAATAAGGTCAGACCAATTTGCTTTGGTAGTTTACATTACCCCCTTTTGACCTCCCCCCTCTCTCTTAGTAAAAAAATTTTGGGATATTAATGTATAATTTGGCCGGAGAGCTAATGCAAGAGGAATCAAGATTAGAAATTGTAAGGCTCCGAAAAATTCGGAAGGGAAAACGAACGAACATAAAATACGAGCAAGGTCAGGCCGATAATTTCCAATTGAAAAAAAAATTTAATAAAATTTACTATGTACAGTCGGACCTCCCTAAATGCAACCTCTCTAAATGCATATATATGAAAAACCTCCCTAAATGCATGTCTTTTCTTGGGCCCAACTAATATAACACTTATAGATTTTTAACTCCCTAAATGCATAACCTTTTAAATGCATATTTTTTCAATTTTTTACTATGGTCCCGACATTATGCATTTAGAGAGGTCTGACTGCTACGCTACATCCCCTTTTAAAAAAAATGTTGGTCTCGCCTAAACATAAGGTTAAGAATTCGCTTATTCTTATAATATTTTTTATAATATTCACTTTCATTATTATTTAGCTTTATAACAATGATAAGAACCAGTAACAATGTATATTTAAATGATAGAAACACTCTTTTTTCTACAAAATTCAATGGCTTCTGTATGATTTTTCTGAGCAGCTCTTCTAATATATTTCACACCTAATTCTTCATCTTTAACACCAGTAAGGCCAGCATAAAGTATATTTCCAAAATTATATATGCCAACTACAAGTCCATTATCAGCAGCTTTCTTAAAATATTTTGCAGCTTCTGAATAATTTTTATCGACGCCCATACCATTAAATAAACATAACACGTATTTTAATTGTGCATCAGGTACTTCATCACTTGCATCCGCAACTTCTTTAAACAATTGAGCAGCACGCCTTTCTCTTTCTTCTTCTGTATAAGGAGTATTTATTAGCTTTTTGTAAAGGTAATAACCAACAAAGTATTTTGCTATTAAATTCCCTAAAATTAATTACGTATAAAGTTAATAAACAACTTTGTAGATTTTTAAATAATTATTTATTTTAGATATTTAACTAGACAATAAATCAACAAAAATTTACTAATTGAATTGTGTACCTAATTTTGCATATGCATTGAAACATTTGAATGCCATCTCCAAATTACCATTAGTAGCACGATGAGTTGATATGGCTTCTTTCATTGTCATATAATTAAATTCAGCAAAGTTGATAGTCTCTGCAACATGAATTTTATCATCTTGGAAATTATTTTCATTATTATAAATATGTGATATGGGCGAAATATCATTAATTTTATAAGGTATTTTAGAGGAAAAATTTGGAGTATTTGATGGTTCAAGTAGATTTTGGAGAGTTTTAAACATTTCTGTTAAAGTTGGTCTAAATTCTGGATCAGCACCAACAGCTATAAAAGAATGAATTATGATATTGAAAGAATTGAAATAAATAGATAGGGTAAAATTCAAACCTTTTCTAGAGATATCCTTATATTCTTTTGGTAACCCAGAATAATTTGTGAATGGTTCACGATATTTTTCCTTATATACACGATCTTTAATTGCCATAATATCATCGAGGTCTTCATATGGAATTCTTTGTTCTGCTAACTCCCATAAAAGAATACCGAAACTAATCGTTATACAGTATAATAGTAATTGTAATAAAAAATTATTAATATTAAATAGTAATTATTTGTTACAAATATGAGAAAAGGGTATATTTAAGCAAACAACACCTGTAGACTTCACATTTAGTATTATATTTATTATTATATCCATATAACATTTCAGGGGCAGCGTAGCGAACAGTTCTAACGTATCTACGAAATAGAAAGTTGGCAATTTTTGCAGTTTTGTTTGCAGTTATCAAAATGTTTTCCGGCCTGATGTCTTGGTGAAGTATCTGAATATTTATCTATTTAAATATATAGTTCAATAAATTTTAATATAAAAATCATGACAAATGAAATCACCTCTACAGCCAACAAAAAGTTCAATCCTCGAGCAATATCAACTGCAATACTTAATTTTTTTCTAACGTCAATAGGGCCACCGTAACGGTAATTCATATAAAATTCTCGTAAATTGCCACGTTCAGCCCACTCAGTCACTAAATAAAGCTTTTCGTCTTCGTCGTCAGAAATAAGGCCATGAAATTGAATTATCTGATGGCAATCCTTAAGCTTCATTAGAATAGCAACATGCTTTCGAATCTCATTTTGAACATTTATAGTATCTGATTCATCAGATACGAATTTAAAAGCGACAGCTTTGTTATCAACTAGGCGAATGTACTTTCTAACTTTTTTTCCACGTATTTCATCTGTTTCTATAAAATCAGCAAGTTCAAGCAGCTTATTTTGATCCTCAATAATTTCCATAATTTGCTCTCGATTTTCTCGATTAGATCTTGAATCCCAAATAAATTTTTTGACCAAATTTATTTCATTGATAGTCTCACTTATGTTATAATTCTCATCAGTAATGCCACCACCTATTTTGAAAAGATACTGATAACATATGATTATTTAAAATACTACTTGTAAATTAACTATCCACAATAAGAAATAATAAGAAATAATAAGAAATAATAAGAAATAATAATAAAGAATAAAGCACCTGATTAAGTTCTTCAAGATCATTATCTATGATCTCTTTTTCATGCTCTGTACGACTTTTTATGTTATCAGTATTAATAAAATTTAACGTATTAATGCACCTATCAAATTCTGTCGTTAATTCATAAAATATAGTTTGAATAGATTTGGTTTGACAATATTTTCGCAGTCCTTTTAACTGTGTTATTTCGCTAATGAATGTTTTCATCTTTTGAATAATATCTGAAAGTTTTTGTATGGATACAAAATTTTGCTTGTTAAAAAATTCTCTGTGTTCATCTTTATATGCTTTTAATAATCGAAGTGATGTTTCAATTGCTACAATCCTTTCAGATAATGATTTACTAATACGTTTATTATGTTCGGCTGACTGATATATTGGTGTTATTTCTTCTGTAATATTTATTATGTCGTTTATTTTCGTAAATTTTGAGAATGGAACAGCACTTAAGGATGGTGTCGGATCGACATTTGTATCTTTAATAATGTGAATTTTTTTATTGATAAATAATATTTTATTCTTAATTATAAAATATAAAAGTCTTTAAAAGTCTTTAAATCATTAATTACCTTTGTATTTATAGTTCAAAGTATTCATATTAATATTCTGATAAACTGGTTCCAATCGCATATAATCTAACTTATTGCAAATTTCTTTAATGTCAGGACGACTATCTGGTTCAACACTCCAAGCAGCGCAATAAAGATTTTTGAAGTCAATAGGGGTTCCTTCAGTTGGAGTTTCTCGATTACCTTTGATTACATGAAGTGTTACTTCCATTAAATCTTTCAAGGCTTTAAAAGGAGGTATACCACTTGAAAGTTCCCAAAAAAGAACGCCTAGACTATAAATATCTGAAGGCTTGTTTCGCCTATACATGAACGGACTTTGAAGATATTGTGGATCAGAATAGGCACATGTTCCTCCTGTTATGGATTTTGTGCTGTTATCTAATAACTTAGATAAACCAAAGTCTGTAATAATCATTCTACCATCGTTTACTAATATGTTTTTATCATGCTATCAATATTATATTATGTTAATATTAATCATAACAAAGAACGACAAACTAAATAAAGAAATATCTCTTACAAGATCACTGTGAACAATATTTGCACTGTGCAAACAATCAATCCCACTAGAAATTTCTTTTGCCATTCTAATTTTAGTTGGCCAATCTAATTTTGAAAAGTGATCATTCAAATAGCATCGAAGGTCTCCACTGTTTGCAAATTGAAGAACCATATAGTATGTTTTTGTTTCAGAATCTAATTTAAAAATTTTGTCTTTTAATAATTAGATATTTATTAAATATATTTATCCATATTGTAAAAATCAACATGCCTTGAGTAATTCCAAAGAACTGTATTATATTATCATGATTAACTTTGGTAGTGTATTTAACCTTGTAATATTAAAAATATAAAGGTTTCAAATAGATAAAGTTAATAATATCGTATATGCTAGTAACAAAAATAATGTGTACTTCTCTAATAAAAATGTCAAATGAATATTCATATTCGTAATCTAAAGTCTTCAAAGCCACAGTTTGTTTTATATCTTTTGAGTAAGCTTTATATACACTTCCGAACCCTCCTTTACCAATTTTTGTCATGTCTTCAAAAGAATCATATTCGAATTTTTGTCCAAAAGCAATTTTAAACAAATCTTTATCTGACATATTTGCATATTTGTTAAATTTAAGACAAAATCAAATTGTTTAGTACATCAAGTGTTAATAAAAAAGATAAACATGTGTAACTCAAGATTGAATCTGAGTACGTACGTACGTATTATTTACATGAAGATTACTTCTAAATAAATAAATATAATTAAACCAAGGATGCGGTAACACAAGCAGACGGAGAAGTATTAATAAACAAACTGAAATGCCAAAAAATAGTTCTAACTAGGAAATCTGAATCTGATATAAGTCCGAAGCGAAAATTGTTCTCAATCACTATAGTATGTTGTGTAACAGAACGATTTCTGTTAACTGGCTGTAGATCATCACGGGAACTGTCAATGCTCGAATTTTATTGGTAGTTTCCGACTAACATTGCATGATCGTGCATTTGATTTTACTCAAACAGTTGAGTCCTCGCTACGCTTCGGACAATTATTCTACAATTAAACTACTACTACAGTAAAATAAGGTAGCTGCGCGACGATGTCGTGCGACACCAGGAACGTAAATTTATTTATGAGCCAGAGATTTCATGCAATATAGCAGCTTTTGCAGACTGGTTCTAAT